GTGCCGGCGCCACAGGCAGAGGATTAGCCTATTGAGCCGCGGCGCCGGCCAACACATACCAGTCTCTTAAATTCTGTGAGAAGTCCTTGACATGTAATCCTGCTTAGCTTTGTGTAAACCAGTGGTCCCTAAATTCGTTTGACCAGGGAATACCTTTTTTAAAAATATGTATTATTTGAAAGAGTTATAGAGAGGCAGAGGCAGAGAAGTCTTCCATCCATGCGTCCACTCCCCAAATGGCTGCAATGGCTAGGGCTGGGCTGATCCGAAGCCAGGAGCTTTTTATGGTCTCCCACATGGGTGCAGTGTCCCAACAACTTGGGCCATCTTCCACTGCTTTCCCAGGCACATTAGCAGGGAGCTGGATTGGAAGTGGAGCAGCTGGGATTGAACCAGTGCCCATATGGTAATGCTGGCACTGTGGGCAACCGCTTTACCTGCTATGCCACAGCGCCACCCCCACCATGGAATACTTAGCAGCATTCCGAGAAACTGTTGTTCTGTGCATGCTGTGGCAGTTGCTGGTCTGTGTAGTGAGATGTGTTCAATGACAATGTTTGTATGATCTCAGCTGCTCTGAGTCTTCTCAGTAGTTGCATTTCATGAGTTTTACAAAATTTTATATTTCATAATTTTTAGAACAAAGACTCCTGGATCTGAAGGATCAGGAAAATTGCCCTGTGTTAGCATTTTCTGCCTTGAGAACCGTGGAGGGTCCCTTGGTGTTACTTTTATCTTATACCTCATTTGATCCTGAATTCCAGGGGTCTGATAGAGGACACACTCTACTCTAGACCGACTTGTCTTGTGGCCTGGCTCCATCACAGCTGATGTCGGTCCATCCCTATCTGTTTTTCATGACTGCCTAGTGCTCACACTCAACTCTGGCATAGACAGATGGACAGATACTACCCGGGTGGCATGGGCAGGCTCAGCTGTGAATTAGACTTGCCAAAAATAAAACCATGGTGTTCTTTCTAGTCAAAATTGTGGCTGCATTGTTATTGAGTCATTATCCATTCTTTATTGCCTGACCACTTGTGATCAGATGAGTTTGCCTCACTGAGCCCTTATGGCAAAGATGGAGAAGTGTGGGATGATAGTGTGGTTAAGTGGATTTGTGACTGATGCTGTGGCCATGCCCAGGGTGGGCTGCTTAATAGATCCATGGCAGCCTAGGGTTAGGCTCTAGCGGTTTGCCACAGGGCCCTATTCTCAGCCCCATCCTAGTTAACTTTTTTTTTTTTTTAATAATTAAGACACAAAGGCCACAGACTGTATATTTTGCAGATGACTTATGGTTGGGAGAAGTAGCTAATGTAATGGATGACAGAATTGGGATTCAAGAATGATCTGGAGAAAAAAAATGATCTGAGAAGACTGAAGTGGAGGATGGGGTTTTAAATGGAGAGAAAGTGAAGAATATAGGTTTAAAAAGTAGCACTGTGGCGGTGGGAGTTGGAACTTTTTAAGTAAATTGTGGTTGTGTTTAAAAAGCTCCTGAAGAGTGATAAGCATGAAATTGAGGTCACAGTTAAGGGGGAGAGTGTGAAGAGTGAGAGATGGGAACGTACTTCAGGAAGTTCATGGACAATGGAGCTAAAAAGTGTTTATTTTGGTGCAAAAAATATTTTTTTAAGATCCATGTGTACAAGGGGCAAATGTATGTTCTGAAAACAAATGGCTTTCAGAATTTGGGGGTGCCAGAATAAACTTGTGTTTTGATTTCCCCTCGAACTTTTGAAGTACCCTTATACGCAGGAGTTTAAAGCTTATGAGTGATATCTTGTTTCTTGAGCAGGGTGCTGCGTCTGTGCGTGTGAAATATTCTTTATACCTTTTTGTCTGGCTAAAATATTTAATAACGAATCAGACTACAGAAGCTGGGAATCTGCAGTGACATACCCACAAGCACGGCGCCGAGCCGATGCCTGGGCAGACCTTCCTGTTCTTGGCACTCGACAGCCCAGAGCTGAGGTGGTGTTCAATCCCAAGCAGCACATTTGAAGAGAGATGCTGTAAATGCACAGCCATTAGGGTACATTCGAGGGGGATGGAGATGGCAGCGAGTCACATGACCAGTAGTTGAATAGAATGGCTAATATTTACAGCAATGAAGAAATAACTAAAGGGATATATGGTGCCATCTTTGGCTATTTGAGGGACTGCCCGGTGGAAGAAGGAATAGATGGTTTCTTCAAAAGGGCAGAATCAGGGCGTTTTCTACACAGTGGAAGAAAGCTCGTTCTAGTAGTCAGATGGCCTTGTGCTAGAGCAGACCAGTTTGGGAGGCTGTGCATTGGAAGCATGTTGGGATTGCATGGACCTCAGCTGGCAGAGGGTGCTGTGAAGAACCTTCCCGCAATGAGGAGATGAACGTAGCTGATCTCCAAGCCCCTCTGAATTCTTCAGTTTGAAACTGAAGACTTGAGCCGTTGTCACCGCCAGCATTACGGTGTGAAGCCTTTGGTTCAGAAAAATGACAGCCTTGTTGCTTATGCCTACTCGCCTTAACTTCTGCTGTTGTGGCTTCTGTACAAAGTGTCTGTGCCTGCAGAGAAAGTGACTTAGGATGTGGCTGTCATACACGTGCGTGTGCACCTGTACAGCAGAAGTTTAATACAGGAAGCCAGAACCTTCGTACGCCAGCAGAGTATTACGTTGGTCAGTGTTGCTTTTTGTACTACTCATGCTTTTGGTTGAATAGACTTTTCTAAAAAATAAATAAATATTTATTTATTTGAAAGCAAGAGAGGAAGAGACAGAGATCTTGTATCTACTGGTTCACTCCTCAGATGGCCTCCAGGCCAAAGCCAGGAGACTGGAGTTTCTTCTGGGTCTTCCTTGTGAGTGCAGGGGCCCAAGCACTTGGGCCATCTTTTGCTGCTTTTCCCAGGTCATCAGCAGAGAGCTGGTCGGAAGTGGAGCAGCTGGGACATGCACCAACATCCTTATGGGGTGTGGGTGTCAGAGGTGGTGGCTTTACCCATTTTGCCACAATGCTGGCCCATCCTGTATTCCTTTAGACATGTTTTCTGTTAGTGTTTAGAGCATGTTAATAATAGTGATTTTAAGTTTGTTTCTGTTGACTGCTCTTTTCCTTTGTTTGGATCCTACTTCTTGTTTCATTGCAGGTCTTCTAATTTGTCGTTAAAAACTGGGACATTCTTGACAATATGTGACCATTCTGGCAATCATTCTCATTCTGCAGAGTTTGTTCCTGTTGCTTGTTGTTTTTGGTGTTGGTGCTGTTTATTTACTTTCCTGGCCTGACTCTTTAGTCTATATTCTTTGTCCTGCAGGGCCACAGAAGTCCCAGTTTGATTAGCTCAGTGGTCTGCCGTTGATGGGCAGATTTCCTTACAGGCAGCCTTTGCTAAAGTGCTCTGTGTGTTGGGCACTGTTTCCCCATTCCAGCAGCTCATCACTCTGCCTTAGCCTTCTCTTACTGCTGGTGAAAGACCTAGGGGTCAGGGCCTTCTCAGAATTTTCCTGGGCAAGTGCACTTGGCATTCTAGACTCCCAGGAATACGTTGGAGTCTTTCAAGGCTCTGTGGAATCCCATTCCCAGCTTTTCCTTTTACAGCTTGTTGGTCAGCATCTTGTTAGCCCTGACCAGTTAGTGCCACCTCAGGCAGCTGTAGTGTTAAACAGTTGTCTCTTACTGTTTGGACAAATGCCCTGGAGTTAGAGAGTGCTCATTCAGTTCAGATAAAGACAAGCCCAGGAATAGTCCTCTCCAGTAGCTTCCAGACAGGTCAAATGGTGACATTCTCTGAGGAGCCCCAAACGCGTCTGTCCCCCAGTGACTTCTAGGCTGCTGGGTTTTCCAGCTTCCATAGTTGCAAGGCTGTTGGAGCTGGAGGAGGGGAGGGGATAGCTCAAGTTAAATGACACGGAGATCACTGTTTTGATATTTGGCATTTTTCTTGAGTAAATGTTCCTAAGAATGTTGCAGGCCTTTCATTAATTTCTGGGGCTCTGAAAAAGTTGGTTGTGACAGTTTTTTGTCACTGTGTGGAGATTTTTGGAGGTCTTTGTTCTGCCTTCCTAAGGTGTCTTTGCATTGTGAGCATCTGCTGCCCTTCTGTTGTGTGCTTGCTTGCTCTCACTTTGGCTCGTGTTTCTTCCTCTCACCTCTGTCTCTGATGCTTGAAGTGGCCCTGTGGAGTAAAAACACAGGAAGCAGAGGCCACTGGTCACCACTCTCAGCTGATGAGAAATGGATTTCGACCTTAGAAGAGGCAGCAGGCGGTTTCAGCACGCACTGAAGACTGCACTGTGTTCGCCTGCTGGATCCATCTTTTCTAGTCTGGCCAGCTTTGTACATTGTCCTGTGATGAACTAAATCCATTGTTGCCCATATTGGGGTTAGGGAGTAAAACACTAATAACAGAAGTGGCCATTTCGTCTGGACACTGCTAGGACTCAACATTCAGACAGACAGGATGCTGGCTTCTCTCTGCCAGATCTTACAGTTCTGGAGTTTTCTGTTGAATGTGTTTTTTAAAATCTTAAGTTCCCACATGTAATGTAAATTTGAATTTCTTCTGTGACCGTAAATTTGTGCTATTGGTATTTATTGTACTGCAGCCTCTTATTTCACAGGCCACCAGGTCCAAATCCAGAAGATAGAAATGAAGCTGCTGTGGGTAGAAGGTCGCGATTCTGTCCTGGACAGTCGTGTGTGATCATGTGGCTAATTACCATGGGAAGTTTGTCTGTCTTGCCTTTTATGTATTTGTATACCTTTTTTCTCTTGTTAGATCATGATTTAATCAAGCAGTCAAAAAGATGAGATTACACGGTGATAAAACAGTCTTGAAAGATAAAACTGGAAACATTTGCTTGTATTTTCTTCCACCTCCGAGTGTTTGTTAATGAGACATTTTATACTGCTGCAAACCCAGGGCAGTGATAAAGGCGTTGATTGGTTTTTGGATAGCAAGGGGCTCCTCTAATTGCAGAATTTGACATTTGTGTCCCTTCTGTTGTTCTAGGTGAGCAAGACGTGGAAGGTGATTGCAGAAGACGAGGTGCTGTGGTACAGGCTGTGCCAGCAGGAAGGACACCTTCTGGAGAGCAGCATCTCGGATTATTCTTGCTGGAAGCTCGTCTTCCAGGAGTGCCGAGCCAGGGAGCACATGCTAAGGACCAACTGGAAGGTAGGCAGTGGCCAGTATCGTGACCTGTAGAGAACAGTGTACAAGGACAAGGAATCCCTGCCTTCAGTTACAGTCTGCAGTTGATTGTCAAACACAAAGTGAGGGCCGTGTGCCGAACAGCCCCATCAGCCATTGCCGACTTGTCCAGTTTGCCGCTGTCTGCCCCGTTTTCCACCACAAGATTGGGAAGCATCCCCCTTGCTCTCCAGGAGAGGAACGGTGTAGTGGGTTGCCAGGCACTGCCCCTCTGCTGGCTGGGCTTGTTGAAGTCGTGCCCGGTACAGCTCCTTCTCACGTTCTCACATTCTCGCCTCTGGAAAAACGAAGGAAGCAAAAGCACCGTCCTTATGAAAAAGGAGCCGACAGCATCCCTGCCAGTGAATGCAGGGGGAGATGGTTAAATGTCTCTAAGCACCGGCTTCTCTTCCCTCACGTAACCTCCTGGCTTGCTTCCCTAACATTTGTCACTTCAGAGTCTCTACAGAAATATTAGATCACAGCTAGGAATTCGTACCATGGAGGCTGTAGGAGAGAACTGTCAAGGAGCAGTTACATAAAGCTGTTGGAGGCGCGACAGGGCTGCATTGTGGCTGCTCCTGGGAAGTGGGTATTCACTGGGAGAGAAGGGATGGGCCTGTACCCTTTCCTCTCCTGTAAGGGTCAGTCCTAATAGACTTTGAGATGCATGAGCTTTTGCTTGTTACTGATGGTGACATATTGCCAGTGTGTAGGTTTGTCCCTAGTTACCGTGTAACCTGATTAGTGACCGATACGCTTGACCTGAGCCACCTGACACAGTGGCTGGCTGGGTGAGCGCGAGTGGCACTGTGCTCTAAACCCCAGCACTCCGGCACTGGGGGCCAGATGATTGTTTTCTAGGCGGTGTTCCTGTGTGCACTGCAGGGTGTTGAGTAGGATTCCTGGCCTACCTACCAGATGCTGGTAGCATGGCCTCCTCCCTCCAGTCTGGACAACCCAAAGTGTCTCCAGACGGTGCCACATGTCCCCCGGGAGGGAGGAGATAAAATCGCCAGTGTTCTAAGAAGTGTTAAGTTGTTAAGACACCATCTCTGAGTAAGGTCACGTTGGCCCCGGGATGTGTGTGTGCATCCACGCAAGGGAATCAGCTGGCACGCCCGGTTAGGGCCATGTGGTGGACCACAGGTGAGAGGAGAGTGGGCAGGTTTGACAAAGAAAGGTGCTCAGACAGCCGGAGGGCTAGAAAGTGAAGGGTTCAGCCCTGGCTTCAGGGAGGTGCTTCCGTTTAGGAAAGCTTGAGATGGGAGCTGGAGACAGTTGGTGTCCCATGGCTTGCAGTAGGAGATGTCAGGCCCTGCGAGACAAAGCAGTGGCTTAGTGCTTTGCTTCCTCTTTGGTGTAGAGCAAGAGGGGGAGCGAGGCAGTCAGGCACCTCCTCATTTGGCTGGAGATAGCGAAAGTGATGGTGTCTAAAAGATCACCTCATTATTAAGTGCACTTAGCACTTAATAGTCACTCACAAGTTACATGCAAAACATTTAACTGAATGTCCTTTTTTTCTTAACAAGTACAAAGCCACGTGTTTGGGAATTGCTCAGTAAAAGGTTGGTGATGGAGAAAGCTGCGGGCAGGATGTGAGGAAGGCTCCTGTTTGGAGTGTCTGGGCCCATTTCCTGACGCTGTTAGTGAGGAGGGCTGCATCAGTCTAATTTTAGGTGATGACTTATCAGCAAGTGTAATGATGGGGTTCTTACTATAATTCTAGGATGAAAGGAAGCCTTAGCAAAAGGAAAGGCAATGTTAGGGAAAATTCCTTTACCTTGGCCTGCCTTGTTTTCTCTAGAGTGGGGCTGAAAGTGGCATCGCTGCCAGCCCTGTTTGCAGGAAGGCTGCAAGGATACATCTACCACGGCTCACGCTTGCCTGCACAAGCCTGAGGCCTTTCCCTACAGACAGAGATTCGGAGCTGGTGATGGTCGACTTCAGGATGAGAGGGCAGGCCGTTTGGTGAGGCTCCTCCTAGGTCAGTGTCTGGGGAAACCAAGAGAGGACCCAGAATTTTCAGATTTCTCCATGTAAGGACTGACCTGGACTTGAAGTTCTCAGCAAGCGTGGAAACTGCTTGACAAACTGGTTGTGCGGGCCATGGCGTTCCTTTTCTAGGTTTGCATAGGCTGCTTTTTCACCCTGGCGTTCCAGGATCTCTTGGAATACCACTGGGGGTTGGAGCCCAGGAGGGGAGGGAAGCCATCAGCAGCAGTCTGTAAGCTGGCCGCTCTCAGGTTCTCCTGGCAGGCCCTTTCCTCTCCTTTCCAACACCTGCTCCCTCACAAGAGCTGCTTTTCTGTTCTTGTAGCTTTAACCTTGGCCTCCACACTCCAGATCCTTCCCTTCCCTCCCCATATCTCTACGAGGAGGGTGGTGCCACGTGGATGTGTCCAGTCTAGTTCCTTGGCCTTGGAGAAAACTGCTTACTTTTATTAAATCGATTGTGTTCATTTTAATGAAACAGGTACCATCTTTTTCCAATAATAGCTACCACTTATTAAACACTTGCTGTATTGTTTTTCTTTTTTTTTTTTAAGATTTATTTTATTTATTTTAAAGACAGAGTTACAGAGAGAGAGGTCTTCCATCCGCTGGTTTACTCCCCAGATGGCCGCAATGGCTGGAGCTGTGCCATTCCGAAAGCCTGGAGCCTGGAGCCAGGAGCTTCTTCCAGGTCTCCCACGCAGGTGCAGGAGCCCGAGGACTTGGGCCATCTTCTCTTGCTATCCCAGGCCGTAGCAGAGAGCTGGATCAGAAGAGCAGCCAGGACTAGAACCAGCGCCCATATGGGATGCCGGCACTTCAGGCCAGGGCGTTAACCTGCTGTGCCACAGCGCTGGCCCCCTTGCTGTATTCTAAGAACGGGCATTCTTTATAACCATTTTTAGTCTTTCTGCCAGATGGGGCAAAGTTGAAATTAGGAATTATGTGGTATATTTTTTTTTTCTCCAAAGGTTTATTTATTTGAAAGACAGAGTGACAGAGAGGGAGAGAGAGGGAGAGATTAAAACAGTAATCTTCCATCTGCTGGTTTATTCCCCAAACTGCCAGGGCTGGGCCAGGCTGAAGCCAGAAACCAAGAACTCCATCTGGATCTCCCATGTGGATGGCAGGAACCCAAGTATTTGGGCCATCATCTGCTGCCTCCCAGGCACATTAGCAGGAAGCTGGATCAGAAGTGGCGTAGTGGGTAAACCAATGCCTGCAGTGCCGGCATCCCACATGGGCGCTGGTTTGAGTCCCTGCTGCTCCACTTCCGATCCAGCTCTCTGCTATGGCCTGGGAAAGCAGTAGAAGATGGCCCAGGTCCTTGGGCCCCTGCACCCATGTGGGAGACCTGAAAGAGGCTCCTGGCTCCTGGTTCTGGATTGGTGCAGTTATGGCCGTTGCCTTCAGTTGGGGAGTGGAAGACTCTCTCTCTCTCTCTCTCTCTCTGTCTCTCTCTGCCTCTCTGTGTAACTCTGCCTTTCAAATAAATAGATAAATCTTAAAAAAAAAAAAAAAAAAACAAACGGAATATGGAATGCAGATGCCCCAAGTGGTGACTTAACCCACTCTATCACAATTCCCACCCCTGTCTTTAAAAAGTGTTTATTTTCGGGGCCGGCGCTGCAGCTCACTAGGCTAATCCTCCGCCTAGCGGCGCCGGCACACCAGGTTCTAGTCCCGGTTGGGGTGCCGGATTCTGTCCTGGTTGCCCCTCTTCCAGGCCAGCTCTCTGCTGTGGCCAGGGAGTGCAGTGGAGGATGGCCCAAGTGCTTGGGCCCTGCACCCCATGGGAGACCAGGAAAAGCACCTGGCTCCTGGCTCCTGCCATCGGATCAGCGCGGTGCGCCGGCCGCAGCGCGCCGGCCGCGGCGGCCATTGGAGGGTGAACCAACAGCAAAGGAAGACCTTTCTCTCTGTCTCTCTCTCTCACTGTCCACTCTGCCTGTCAAAAAAAAAAAAAAGAAAGTGTTTATTTTCATCTACTTGGGATATAGAACAAAAGAGAGAGACAGCGACTATAGAAATATAGAGACAAGGATCTTCCACATTGCTGGCTCAGTCCACAAATGCCCACTATAGCATGGGCTAGGCCAGACCAAAGTCAGGATCCTGGAACTCCATCTGGGTCTGCCACATGGGTGGGAGGGGCCCAAGGACTTGAGCCATCATTCTCTGCCTCCCAGGATGTAGTCATAGGAAGCTAGATAGAAAGTGGAGGAGCCACGACTTGAACCAGCACACCTACTATGCCATGATGCCCATTATGGTTTACTTGGTATTCTTGAAAACTTTATTCCCACTTTTTGTTTTTAAAGATTTATTTATTTATTTGAAAGGCAGAAATAAAGAAAAGGAGAAGAGAACGAGAGAGAGGTCTTCCATCGCTGGTTCACTCCACAAATGGCCGCAAGAGCTGGGACTGAGCCAGGCCGAAGCCAGGAGCCAAGAGCTTCATCCGGGTCTCCCACATGGGTGCAGAGGTCCAAACAGTTGGGCCATCTTCTACTGCTTTCCCAGGCACATTAGCAGGGGACTGGATAGGAAGTGGAGCAGCCAGGACTGGAATTGGCACCCATATGGGATGCGGGATGCTGGCACTGCACGCGGAGGCTGAACCTGCCATGCCACAGCACTGGCCCCACACTTGCTTTTAGCTTTCATGATTTTATTCTTCATAAATATTTAGATCCCTTCAGAGTTCCTTTGTTTTATAGCTTTTAAAAAATACTTATTTTAGTATTTTTTTCCAAATAAATGATCATGGTAACGTAGTTCAGAAGTCATGAAAGGACATGCAGTGTGAACGCCGGTCTCCCTCCGCTCTCCCCAGTGCCAGCTGGAAGCAGGGAAATGTGTGTTTAGGTTTGAGAGCTTCCCTTGACACTGTTACCGTGAAAGCCCTGAGCTGGCGGTCAGAAACCGAGTCACCTCTTCTTTCTGCCATCCTGAGCTTTTGTCTTCCTATCTGATTTTCCATTTTATTTTGAGAGTTCTTGTGCGAGTTGTCAGTGGACACGAAATATTTTCCACTGAGCTGAGGAGCTCAGCTCATCTCTTCAGACAAATGCCACTACCAGCAGCCATTTGCCAGCCTGCTGTGGACTGTGGTTCTTTGTGCACCTGGATTTTCTTTATACTCGGGAGTTTCACTCATCCCAAGCCCCCCTAGCTCAGTGCCTTAATGTACATGGTACCTTGTATGTGCTTAGTGTCTTGACTTGTTTGGTTGGTATCTCTGATGTAGCACTGTGAGATGTAGATGAACGTGACATGCTTTGCCTTCCAGCTCTCCCAAGAACTGTATAAACCGCATCCCCCTTTTCCTCACGCAGAATCGAAAGGGGGCCGTGAGCGAGCTGGAGCCTGTTCCCGACGCAGTGTTGTGTGATGTGCACTCTCACGACGGCGTTGTCGTTGCTGGGTAAGCAAGGCCGCTCTCCATCTGACAGTCCTTCCCGTGTCCTGGGCGCCCTCTGAGTACAGGGGCCTTGTCTTTCCTTGGGAATATGTTCACTCTGTGCGGCGAGTGGTGAGGAGCAAACGGCGCTGAGCAGACCTGTGGTCCATTTGCCTCAGTGTGTCTGTCCCAGCTTTTACATCACGCTTGTGGCATGTTACGTAGGATTTTCACGAAGGCACGCAGTTTGTATTTTATGAAGACATAAAGAAGTCAAGCAAGAATAGTAACAGGACCTGTTGTGCTCTCTTGCACTGAAGCTGGTGCTGTGGCCACTCATGACCTCCCTTCCCCACAGCTCAGTGCGTGCTTGCCGCTCAAGCTGTCCTGCCCAGGGCTTTTTGTCTCCCTGGCCAAGAAATAGAATGTTGGCTTTTGTAAATTCCTTTGGTATCAGTTCCCTAAACCACTTTCAGGAGTTCTTCATCATTTGCCATGGAGGTGCATTGATGTATTTTTTTAATGTACATTAGGGGAGCCTGCACTGTGACATAGAAGGTTAAGCCTCCACCTGTAGCACTAGCATCCCATATAGGCGCTGCCGTGTGTCCCAGCTGCTCTTGTTCTGACCCAGCTCCCTGCTAATGGCCTGGGAAAGCACTGGGAGATGGCCCAAGTGCTTGGGCCCCTGCACCTGTGTGGGAGACCAGGAAGAAGCTCCTGACTGCTTCTGATCAGCCCACCTCTGGCTGTTGTGGCCGTTTGGGGAGTGAACCATCATGTGGAGGACCTCTCTCTCTCTGTAACTCTGCCTCTCAAATAAGTAAATAAATCTTTTAAAAAATAATGTACATTAAGAAAATCAGCTCTTTTTTTTGGATTCAACTATAGTCTCAAATTGTATACTTAAATTAAAAAGTTTTTTTTTTTTTTTTTAATTTGAGAGATCTTTCATCCATTGATTTGGCCTCCAAATGACCGTAAGCTCTAGAATTGGAACAGGTTGAAGCCAGGAGCCTGGAATTCCCAGCAAAGACCCAAGCACTTGAGCCATAATCTGCTGCCTTCCCAGGAATGTTAGCCGGGAGCTGGATCAGAAGCAGAGTAACTGAGACTCAAGTCAGGACTCTAATATGGTATGCAGGCATGACTGGTAGTCACTTAAACTGCTTTACCAAGCACCTGCCCCTCAAACTGTGTAATTGAAATTGTATGCCTTCTTAGTCTTAAATCATGCTGTAAAATAGAGACCAAAACACTTAGATTTCTGAGTCTTGATGGACTCTGAAGTGAGCCAAATAAGGTGTCTGCTAGTAGGAAAACAAAACCAGGCACAGCAAGCTAAGCTGCTGCCTTCAATGCTGACATCACATATTGGAGTGCGAGTTTTGAAAGAAAGAGTGATCAGGGGTGGTGGGGTGGGGAGGGAGGGAGAGAGAGAGATCTTCCATCCACTGGTTCATTCCCCAGGTGGCCACAACAGCTAAAGCCAAGAGCCTAGACCTCTGAGTCTCCCGTGTGAGTGACGGGCCCAGCTATTTGGGCTGTCTTTCACTGCTTCCCCAAGTGCATCAGCCTGGGAGCTTAACTGGAAGCAGAACAGCCTGAGCTGCAATGTGCCACGCGTGCCTCGAATTCGGCAGCTTAACCCACTGCACCGCGACGCTGACTCCTAGCTTATCTTGAAAGATCTAGATTGAGTTCTGGGCTCCTGTCTTGGGCATGATCCAGCCCTGACTATTGGGGGCTTTTGGGTAGTGAATCAGTAGATGGAAGATCTCTATTTCTCTGCCTTTCAAGTACTTAAAAAAAAAAAAAAAAACAAAAAAACTTCTTGATAGTACTGTGAGAGTACTGTAGAACTGTTTTTTTTAGGAAGGCTAATGGACGAGAACTCTGGCTCCACAACCCATTGCTAGGAGCCCCTGACAGGCAAGGTCCTTTCTGCTCACTAATGCCAGCAACCAGTGGTGACTTCAGAAGGCACTGACACCATTCGGGCTTATAAAGGAGTCTGCCTCGTGTGTCAGAAGACACAGTGCCAGGGCTGGAAATTGTCTTTAAAGAAATTAAAGTAGCAGAGAGACTTCAATCTCCAAAGCCAGTTGGGAATGTTCTCTCTGGATGTGGTGCTCCCGCAGGCCAGGCCGACTCGGAGTCCTGATGCCAGAGCTGCTCTCCCGCCTCCCTGTTCCCTGGAGGTCTGTTCGCATTACAGATTCTGCCAGCACAGAGCCAGGCAGTGGCAGAGTTGTGCGGATCGATGAGATGAAACCTGATCTGTGGGCCAGAGAGGCTCCCTTTTCACAGAGAACCTTGGTGGATGGCTTCGCATGAGGTACTTCAGTCTTGCTTGTATGAGAGCATCTTGTGTTTATCATTAAAATTTCATCTGGTGGTTACGATGCTTGTTTTCTGGGTCAGATCTTGAATCCCTTTTCATTTGAGACAGTGGTGTTTGTGGTTACCTCATTCCCAATCAATGTTGTATTCACCAAGCTTTTCACCGTGATGCATCTCCAAGGAGCTTCTTAAAGAGACAATGGCCATTGCTTTCTCTTGTACAGCCTATCTGCGCTTCTCTTACTTTTCTTCTTTCCTTCCCATTTCTCTCTTTTACACAAGTGGAATCTCTTTTTTTTTTTATTTTTTTTTTATTTTTCTGACAGGCAGAGTGGACAGTGAGAGAGAGAGACAGAGAGAGAAAGGTCTTCCTTTGCCGTTGGTTCACCCTCCAATGGCCGCCGCTGCAGCCGGCGCACCGCACTGATCTGATGGCAGGAGCCAGGATCCAGGTGCTTTTCCTGGTCTCCCATGGGGTGCAGGGCCCAAGCACCTGGGCCATCCTCCACTGCACTCCCTGGCCATAGCAGAGAGCTGGCCTGGAAGAGGGGCAACCAGGACAGAATCCGGCGCCCTGACCGGGACTAGAACCCGGTGTGCCGGCGCCGCTAGGCGGAGGATTAGCCTATTGAGCCACGGCGCCGGCCCCAAGTGGAATCTCTTTAGAAGCTTGGTTTTATGTATCCAGGGTTAGCAAAACAATAAAACATCTTTGCATTGAAGCTTCTTAAATGTGTTTTATAGAATTATGGGAGGGCCAAGATGGTTGGGAAATTGCATCTTCTACATTCGCAGCTCCTGGTTGAGGTCAGGTTGCAAAGACCTTGACTGATTTGTGTTGCATTGGCCTCCAGGTTGATCTGGATTTGTGCTTCCTTACTTTTCTTTGCACACAAAGGCAAAGTTACCTAAAACAGTCATTCACTCATACCTTACCTGACAGATGCCCGAGTGAGTACCTGTCGTGTGGGCAGCACTGGCCCCTGCTCGCCTTAGACCTGTTTGTCTAGCAGAGAAACAGACGTGATTCTCAATGATTTTGTTTTTCACTTTTGTCCATGAGTCTTTGCTTCCTGTGCCATCCTAGGAATAGTTTCCACTTACCTTTTCCTGACATTCAGAGTTCTTTGGAATTTGTTTCCTACCTACCTATTGCTCTTCTTGAGTGAACCTTTGTGGGTTTTTCACTGTTCCATTTAGTCACCACTAACCATATATTGTTTAAAAATTGTGATAGAAATCACATACCATGACGTTCACTCTTTTAAAGTGTACAGCTCATGATTTTTATGAAAATTCACAGGGTGACATTATCATCTAATTCCAGAATATTTTCGTCACTCCCAGAGGAAACCTGGCTGGCGTTCTTTTAGGCCTGCCCCAACCCTGTCTCCCTCCAGAGACTTCTGGGACGCCCTGGCCTGACACCCTGCCTATGCCCCAGGTCTGCTCTGCTCTCACTCTCGGAGAAGGGATTCTCTGTAGCTCATCATGTGGCCTCATGGCTCCACTTAGATGTTTGTTGTATTACTAACTTCTAACTTTGCAGCCGTGTGTTTTCTTTCCAGTAATGTGTAAGTATCTCGTGAGGCTCAGTTGGTATGCCTGTGTACCGTTCTGTGTGCACTGGGCATTGCAAGTTAGTGCTCAGTCTCCTTTGCTCCCACCCTGCACTTACCTGTCATGTGGGACCCTGGCGATCAGAGCCTGCTGTCTCTTGCTTGTTCTCAAATTTTTTAGTTTTTTTTTTTTTCCCCCAATCTAGAGTCCTACTACGTTAAACCTGGAAGGGACTTCAGACATGTTTGTTCGGCCCACTGTTGTGTGAGGGACGGAGGCTGCATGGAGATAGGCTTGCCCGGCACTGTCCGCTCGGCTTTGACAAAGTCTCCATGCAGGGCTGAGCAGCAGAGCTGTCGGTCCTGGGCCCCGATTTCCTGCTCTGAAGCCTTATCTGCTGCCTTGTCACTCTGGCTTCTCTTCTTTGCCACGTGGCGGTTCTCTTTAACACGAAGGCACAGTGGTTAGGGTACTGCGTGGAACGTCCGCATGCCATGGTGGGGTTATTGGATATGAACCCCAGATATGCTTCTAATTTCAGCTTCCTTTTAACACACATTCTGGGAGGCAGCAGGTAATGGTTCATGTAGTTGGGTCCCTGCTCCCATAAAGGAGACCTGGATTGAGTTGTGGCCTCCTGGTTTCGCCTTGGCCCACCCCAACTGATCTCTCTGCTTGCAAAGAAAAAAAAATTAATTGATAAGTTAAAGTGATTGTAAAATCAGATGTGTTTTGCAATCATGTCATAAAGTAGAGAAGAGAAACTGACCTAAACCACCCTGTAACACAGCCCATTATCACAGTCTGTTTCATTGGATTTCAGTGTCTTTTTTCCTGCATATTTTTACCTAATGTAATCATAGCCTGCATTACTTTTTTTTTTTTTTTAAACGAATATATTTGTTTGAGAGGTAGAGCTACACAGAGAGAGGGAAAGAATGGTCTTCCATCTACGGGTTCACTCCACAAATGGCTGCAGTGGCCGGAGCTGGGCTGATCCAAAGCCAGGAGCTAACTCCAGGTCTCCCATGTGGGTGCAGGGGCCCAAGCACTTGGGTCATCTTCTGCTTTCCCAGGCTGTAGCAGAGAGCTGAATCAGAAGTAGAGCAGCTGGGACTTGA